GGTATCAAATGATTGGGCTGCACATGGTCTCCATAAGGGTGGACCTCGCTGACCATACCATGATGAATTGTTTTGTCATGCAGGCTTTGCAATCCTGCAGAAAAACAATAAATTCGCTTTGTATAGATGTTTTCTCGCCATAACACTTTGTCAGCAATTTCCATTGTTGCAGTTTGACCACATCTACATTTATTCAGACATTATTAACAAGAAATATATTCTTAATCAAAATAAAACTGCATTCTTTAAAATATAAACAATAAAATGTATCTTTTCTGTGAAATGTTATGAAAACAATAAAATAATGAGAATAAGTAACTGGAAAAAAGGAGGCTTCTTCCTTATGGTTGGATTCAGAGTAAACATCATCATTGGATCCAAAGAGTAATCCCAGGCCTCCAGGCCTTTAGAAATCCCTAAGGGATTTTGCTATGAGATTTTAAAAGGTCCCAAAGCAATTTGAAATCAGGTATTCAGCTGTGCAGAAAATGATCTGTAAGTGGGATATTCAAAACATCTACTGTATGTATAAGTCTGTCCTTCTGGAAACCTTAACCCTAAAAGCGGACTGCAAGGTGCTAAAAGCATTGTTCCAAAAACCAAAAAAAGTATCACACCAGAAACTACAGTGGGCTGAAATTGCCTGTTCGTAAAGTTATAAAAGCTGTTCAAATGTTACCTTAAATCGTGAACATACCACTCTAACATGTACAGCAGACAGTCAGGGCAGACATCATTTGTTTCAAAGACATTTGTGAATTATTTAGCTTTATTACAAAAAACGTAACATCTTATTTTCTTCATTGAAATCTCGTGTTTATTTATATATAAGTTCTGCAAACAAAGAAGCAAAAGAAGAAAAAAAACAGGAAGCGTATTCTGTTGATGTCTCCAGATTATAACACTGTTTTACTCTGAGTTTAACCATCGTAGTTGGATTATTTTGGTTGAAAATATGCAGCAAATGTGGCGTCAATTTTTTCTTTGACTGTAAATTTGATCCCCATTTCTGAGAAAGTTTTTAAGAAATGACTCAGATGCTGATCCCTCCAATGAAATCACAGGAATCTTAGAGAAATTTCCTGTTTATAGATGTCAGTTTTTGGATTTGTTTTCCTACCCTTTTAGTGGTTGGTTGTCTATGCAAGAACAAAACATCTGCAAGTCTGATCTGAGGATAGGTTATATAGGGGCTGGTGCAGGTGGATATGATGAGAGTTAGAGTGAGAAAAAGGGTGGAGCTTGACAAGTATGTAGAATAAGGGATCCGACCAGCATCAACATCGAGATCATACAGTCACAGAGTTAAGTATTTTGGCTGATTGCATGCAGTCATTGACTTTGCAGGATTCGTTCCTCCTGGATCATTTTAAGAGGAAATAAAGTCAAGTCCACAGAAAGAACGTATGAGTTGCAGCAGTTAGTGACACATGAATGGAGGCATTTGTTTCTGTGTAGCAGTTAGGGGTTCAAGTCCTGTTCTTTAAACCCAAAATAGGCTTCAATTTGCTCATTTTCTTTCTACAGAAACCTCTCTAGCTTAGTTTTTATTATCTGTTTATTAGTTGTATTTCTCACTTTTCTTAAAACTCATATCATATATCCTGGTGTTTCAGTAAGGTTTTTTTGTTTTTCACAAGGCTGTGGGTCCGATGATCGTACTATGAGTTCAAAAAATCAGTGCCTTCAAATGACATGTTGTGATTATAAACAAACTGAATTGAAATTGATTTGGAAAAATAATTGATTAACAAAATATACATAAAAACAATTTAAGGAGATAGTATTTTTCCTATCTTTGGTTTTTAACAACTACTTCTGGACTGTTAGATTTCTTTTTTTAAAGTAAATTGTGAAATGGATTTCGGTTCAACTGTTATTCTAGGATCAGATAACCTAGTCTGAAGCTTCTGTCTTTTTAGCTCTTTGTCTGATCCTTGAATCCTATAACACACCTACTCCACCCAGGCGCCTTCTCACTTCAAACCACCACACTATCACAGCTTTTCTTGTTCCTTCTCCTTATTCCTCCTCGTCGTCATCAGCCCGCTTCCACCCACCATCACTTCAGACCTGCCAGTTGATGCCTTTGCCTGCTCTCCTACAGAATACTTCAGCTCTGCCCTTGAAGCTGTCTTATTAAATCCAGAGTGATGTCTTGTTGCTCTGGCATCGCTCTCTCTGCTGTTTGTGAAGTGGATGAATTGAGGTTGGGAAGAAGTGCTGAATAATATAAATTTTGGACATTAAGTTTTTAAAGGGTCTGTTAAAATTAGATCATATCTTTCAAACTAAGCCTCCCACAGGCACAGAGGATGGTTCTATATGCTTAGTTGGTAATTAGACAATAGATACAGTCAGGTAACCTGGCAGTAGCCATACTGACATGTGTAGAACTGAGTTAAGTTCTACGTTATCAATCTGGGATGGCTGCTGATCAGTCTGTCCGTGAAAAGGATAGATGTTTAGTACAATACTTCGAGTTGATTGGGTGCCGTGCCAGCTAGTAACCACCTTCCATGATACGCTTTCAGCCAATCAACACGATGATCACAATAGGATTTGTTTTCAGCTTCTTGAATGTTTCCGTAACTAGCAGAGTAAGCTGATAAATCAAACTTTTTCGGTATCCTGTCAGAATAAAAGCACAGACGTCTTTCCCATCTACAGATGCACAAAGTGCTTCTCTTTTTGTCGCTATTTTAGCTAAAACCAAGTCAATTGGGGCATCGACAGATTAGTCCTCCAGCGTAGCAGTGTGTGTTATGCCTCAGGATGGCCCCTCTGACTGTCGTCATTACTTCATGTCCCGTCCTAAAAAACCCTGCTGGCATGCTATTGGTCCGACTCGCTGGTTTTATTACCAGACAGATGTGTTAGTGGGAGTCTTTTAAGATGGATTTGTTGTGAGACTGAAAACTCAGATCTTGTAACAATCCAGCTTGCAGCGCAAGGTTAAGAGCCTGGGCCGGAAGTTACCTTTTTTGGTTACCAGCCACAGAAATTTTTACCAGCCATTTTCTTTATGCTTAATTAATGGTAAACAACTACGAAAAATGCTTTAGAAGGGTTCATGAGCTTCTACAGAATACACATTAAAGTGATGCTGGGTTACTAGCCAAATTATTCCTATATATGACTGCACCTGCACAATGGGAGCTTTATTTGATCTGGTGTGACTAATATTTAAAAAAGATACAAACAGCCAGTCGTCTCACTGAAGGTCTCATTTATTTAATAATATGTAATTCATTAATCAATATATAATTAATTAATATAAAATTAACTGTATAACTGCTTATTTGTCACTGTTTGCATCCATTCATTCAGGTTCATGGCAGTTTTAACTTTATACAAATAATTAGATTTTATACCTTATGTTGCTTTTGTATGCTGTTTCATTTATTTATAGTAATATTACTTGATCAAAGCTTTTCTAACACTGCACTCTATTAAATGAATAATAAAAGCTGGGAACATTTGTGCTGATATCTTATCAGGTTTAATATTGGTATGGATTAATTCTCAAAGCTGTAATAATGCGTATCGGAAATGAAAAAGTTGTGTCAGGATCCACCTGATGACAACAATAACGTATTTAACAGAATCCACACCATATTTCACTGGAATGTCAAGGTCAGGCAACTATTAAAAAACATTTTCGCAGAACATAGACTGAGGGCTCTGAGTCCTCAAAAGAGGAAGAAAAGCAGACAATCACCTCTGCTTCCTCTACTTCCCCAATTCCCTACATATAGCAATCCTCACCATGCATCCCCTCTGTTGTGACAGCAGACAGTTGTGTACCGGCTGTCACTTCGTATTGAAATGTCTTTTTTTTTGTCTCTTTGAATCGTCATCCTCCTCATATTTATTTTGGTCAGTTTGGTCTGTTAGTAAGAGCCATGTTTTCTTTTAAAAAATACAGGGAAAGAGAGAAGAAAAGACCAAATTGTACTTGTCTGGTCAACAACACACAATTGATCAGTTTTGTGTTGTTTTGTCTTATTGGCTCCATGCCAACCTTGTAAGTAGATTGACAGTTTCACCAATTTCATGCCCTGTATGCTTCACTAATACTACAGTACATGACACCACAACTCCCATAATGCTCTGCTGATGGGTCAGTAAAGACCTGGTTCCTTTGTTGATGTTCCTTAACAATCCTTTTAAAAATAACCTAAAGTCCGGAAACTAACTGCATTCTAAATGCAGCTCTGTTTGTTTAGTCTGTGCATCTGTGACCAAAGAGCATAAAAAGATCTTTTTTTTTTATTATTCAGCCCAGTGTAGGAGTTCATCCCAGCAGCAGATCAATAATGTTACTAAATAACAAATTTAGTCTTTTTTTGTATTAAGAAGGCTTTATTTATGAATTTGTCTCTACTACAAATAAAAAATCTTAAGTTGAAAACAAAGTTGTTTTGTTTGTTTGGCATCTTTAAGGTGGAGAGCAAACATTCAGAAAATTATTATCTTTAAAACAAGTTTTTTGTTTTTGTTGCTTGGAGCTGAAACATTTTTGGACCTTAGAAATAGAAAGCACGCAAAAAAGTTCAAACATCATCAGCAAATAGCATAATGTTCAAATTTTGAATTTACTTTTTATTTATTTTTGCTCTACAAAAGTTCTTGAATGCTTAATTCATGCTGGAAAGGTAAAAAAAACTGTTTATAGTAGAGTTTTTTTTTTGTTTTGCATATTTAACTGGAAAAAAGAGGAGAGTTGCCTTGAATAGCAGCAAAAAATGTGCAAAAATGTCTGCACACCTCTGATTTACATGGATACATGCAAACGTTAAGCTTCTGGAATATCCTTCTCAAAGCATCAACCTCAACTTCATAGAAAACACAGAAAGCATTTCCTAAAAGTTTGGACTGTCAGGAAACCGACCCATTTCTTGACCCAATTCTGCTAAGGACATATTGATGGAAAAAGAGGTGGAAGCTGGTTCTGATGGAAATTTTCAGTGACACTGTGTTGCGTCTCACCCCTGCAGGTCCATGTGGGAACCTCCCATCAGGAGCAGAGAGTTGTGGGATACCTCACATGCACGCACCTCCACGCCATAGAAGGTACAGTAGATGCTTGTTGGTTCTGATTGTCTCCTATCCATGTCTGCCTCCACGTTGGGAAATTTAGATGAACGAGTGCAACAAAACCCTCTATCTGCTGTTCCCATGGCGACTGCCTCACGCTGGTTTAGGCGTCACAGACCTATTTAAAGCCTCCGGTCAATGCCACACTCATTTTTAACCAAAGACGCAACCCTCTCTCTATTGCTATTCTGGGCTTCACCTACGCTTATTGCATGTCTAAATATAGCAGAATCAGGGCTGCTTCTAAAGATAAACCAAACATAAATTCCCTTTAAAGTGAGAGGGGTTTTAGATGGGTTAGGTAGTCAGAGAAAAGGAGGAAAAAACAGGAGGGAGACCCGACAGCTGAATCTTTTCTGCCAACAGGGAAGTAAACAGGGGGACTGAATATATAACTGAACATGCACTAAAATTAATAATATAGTATCTGACAGCAGGTTCAGTGAGTTTTAAGGTGAGCAGCAGAAGTTTGTGTGTTTTCTTCGACACACCTGAGAGCTTCTTAGAATGGTACTTGTGAAAAAACATGAATTTCTAAAACTTCTCCTGACTTATTTTTATTTTTCCTTCCCCTGCCTCAATTTATCAATTGTAACCCCATAATGCAAGACTATTTTTTCTTTACCATACTAACTTTCTTTTCTATTATTACCCTATTAAGAATTTACACATTCTGTTGAAATAATTTTTTCATGCTATATAAAATGATTGTACATACATGTTTGTTTGAATATTGTGTTTTTTGTTATTAATTTTATATTTTCTATCTGTCACTAGGGTTAAGGTTAGGGTGGGGTTACCCTAGTTCAGTTTGTTGGTGGGCATTGTATAAATAATTGCGTTTTTTCTATACCAATAGCATGTTAAATTTTGTTACACAGTGAAATACAGAAACAGACTGGTGAACTTTAAAGGATCGTTTTTTTTTTTTTTTTTTAAGGATATTGTAGTGTATTTTATTGTGATATATGATTTACTGTAGGTGACATTTTTATTGGTTCAACTGTTGATAACTTTGGGGTGCAGAAACTTTCTCTAAGCCAGATTGGGGCCCAGCAAGAAGAAATTAAGAACCAATGTTTGAATCAAATTTTTATTTGCCAGAACTTTTTTTTTTTTTTCAGAATGTGTTTAATCTAACTGATTAAGAATTGGTGAGATTTGAAAAATAGATAATCGGAGGTTATACCTTTACAATCTATTAGTGTTGCGCCTATGCACTTTCTTGGCCCCAATACCAATACCCGATACCTGGCTGTGTAGTATTGGCCGATACCGATACCATACCAACACCATCTGTTTGAAATGAATGTGTAAAATAATTGCCATCATGGCTTTGTGAAGAAGGAAAAAGACTAATGCAAAGTGAATCCAGCAGAACTTTTTATTGCCTACCTGGAATGGGTGACAATAGTTGAATAACATTTTGGCTCTCAAAATGGTATTGGTGCCATATTTGTCGATACTCGCCGATACTGATACCACCATTTTAGTGCAGTATCGGGGCCCCGCCCAATACTGGTATCGGTATTGGTGCAACACTACAGTCTATATCAGTCTGTAGATGCTAAAGTTATTGAGGAAGTCCCCCACAGCAAACAGCTCTAATGACAAAAGGTTATCTTTTTGGAATAAAAAAATATATATATTTTTCTCCTAAATCACAATTACTTAACATTTGTCATAGAAAATTCTATTAAAAGCAGTAAATGTTAGTAAAGTAAAGATTTATTAATGCATTTCAAATTATGCTGTTAATATATTCATTGGCAGAACAATAATCATAAAGCTGGTGCGTGGTTTGTATTGTCTAATTGATTTTTGTACATTTTTGGGGGCGTTTTGGCAAATTCTTTACATCGTTTTTGCACATACACCTCTTAAATCCCTTGTCTGCAGTTAAATCCTCATAGGACTGATCACAGAATATACATAAACATTTTGTACAATTAATAAAGTAGTTTCCCAGCTATCTTGGGACTTCTCTTATACTGATTTGACAAAAGACTCTGTGTCGCACCTGCATATGTAATGTGTCTGCTTTGAGGATCTATATAAGGAATCATGACAGGAGTCAAATTCAGGTAATTAGGCTTCTGATCTAGGATGCAGGATGTTAACCTAGAAGCAAGTACAAACAGTGAGAGCGGCTGTCATTTTAAGAAAAATGCACTTTCCTTTCCTAAACAGGCAATATTTGAATAGTGAATTTCTATATTTTTTATGTTTATTCACAAAAAAACAAGTTGAGCAAAAAACGTAATTTTCGGGGAAAAAAATAAAATAAAATTGCAGCAGGTGAACTGTTTCTACCAGCTATGCCCATAGGAGGATTATGGCCACTTAAAATAAATATATCAATTGATAAAAAGGAAGAACTTTGAGTTTTTCTCTGAATTCTGACTTTATTGCAGAAAGGCATCTAAATACAACTGGGAAAAATCAGCTTCAATGACAGAGATGTCGGTGTTACAGGAAATTAACCAAATTTCTGGAAGAATGTGTTGGATATTTCTTACTTTTTATGTGATTGGGCGACCCAACCAATTTGGTTATGGCAGTTAACTACCAGCTTTAGACATTAAACCAGCTGCCTTCTTTTATTCACCTTCTACTTGTCCATAAATAAAATGGTTATTTGGAGGGAAAAAGGTCTTATTTCTAATATTAATATCAGAATCCAAAGGAAAAGTAGGTAAAGATTAAAAAAATTTAGTCAGAAATATGAGCAACAAATCAGAAACTTTTCTTTTTGGAATTTTTCTCAGTGGCTTGTATTATCTAGTGTAGATTTAATTATTCATTTTTTTTCAGTAGACATAATATGAAGGAATATGAACTTCTTAGAGTGACCCAGCCAAAGTCTTTTAATATAACAGATACATCTCTGGTGGAAATATCCGGGTGATGGCAAGGAGGAAATTCAAATATTTGCCAAGATCTCACAACCAAAGTAAAATACCAGAGAAAACTTTTAGAAAAATCTGGTCAGCAAATACAAAAAGGTTTTTGTTCCCTTAAAACAACCTATCTGTTCTTCTGTCTGTCTCATTTTCTATCAAAAGCAATTTTCTTGGTTGACTGGAAATAATTGAAACTCTAAATCACTGAGGATGGAATTCATTTTGAACATAACTTTAGGTGTTGACACATTTCCAGTTCATCCACTGAAATAAGCAGCTGTTCGAGCCTCAATGATTCATAGGGAGGAGTCCACCTCCTCAACATTTCTTTGAAATTTAGAAAATAAATGATTGACTAAAAAAAAGATTATCAAGGGCACGTTGAATGGAAACAAAAATCTCTTTAAAAGAAACAAAACTTGTTAATCTAAAGAAGGGGTGATTCAGGAGGCGGCTCACACTGTTTGCAGCCCTCTGAATGATTTTTCTACACAAGGCTATACATCAACAGCATTACAGGTTCTGGTCGACTAGCACGTTAAATCAATGCAAATGGGACACAGACAAACATTTTTAAGTCTACTTTTTTTCTCACCTAAAAAAGACACAGAATAAGTAATCTGAAGCAGACTGCTGTGACTTTCTGCCTTTTTTGGATTTGGACTGATTGATTTTGTCAGACAGACCTAATCTGGATTTAAAAGAAGCCATCAGTTCCATTAAAGATCCAATGAAGCACAATGAGCTAATTTCATTACATTTAGATGTTTTGCCTACAGAACCTGATGGCAACTCAAGAATGAGCAGCAGCTTTTCATCAGCCTTTAAACCTTGAGAAAAAAAGCAGATTTTTTTCACTCACAAGAGCAAAAGTCATAATTCTGACTTCTAAATTTTTTATTCCATTCGATTTTTTTCTGTTCAAACACATACCAAACAAATTTACAGCAAACACACCTCCACATTCCTCACTTTCATCCATTTTTTTAGTACATTTTGATAAAACGCACACACATAAGGGTTTCAGATGGAGCCGAGCTGCAGGCCAGAGTAATCCAAGCCAAAGCCACCTACTCACCCTCCAGTATCTTGACACGTCTTTGTTTCTCACACCTTCCACTATTCATCTGTTCTCTCGAATGCTCTCCACCTCCCCCTCTGCTCCCCTCTTCTCCATCTCTAACAGCAGTTCATAAGATTTACTGCTAGCAGTGAACAGATGCAGCAGACTTCAGTACTGAGGAGCAAACCTATAAAAACTCTAACTCCTTTATTACGTAGGAACATTAAAAAAAACTAAAGCATTTAAGAGCTTCTGGATGAGCTTGTTTTAGCTACAAGTGGATAAACAAACTGTGACGTATCTTTGTGTTTACATCCAGGCGATTCATCGGTCCGATGCGAGCAGCTGGACCTCCTCCTCCAATGGGGGGCCGAGTTTCGGCAATCCTCATCCCAATCCCCAGAAGGAGAGAAGGTGCTGGAGGACCTGGTGGCCTTTGATGTCATCTTGGGAGACCTCAACTTTGATAACTGCTCTTCAGGTATGCAGACCTGTAGGCCATGAACCAAGATATCGCTGGTTTGTTGTTCAGTCCTGTAATTATTACATTATAGCATATGAAGTGTTATTCCAGGCGGCTTCATGTTATGGATTTCAGCTTCGGTGCCATTTAAACCCAGGCTATGGCTTAATAAATTTGATCATTACAACAATTTTGTTTTTTGTTGAGCTTACATCCCAGAAATTAACATCAATTGCTATCTGCCATCTTCAATTATTTCTATAGATATTTATTCAGATCAGTTGTGCTTACTGATAATGGAACATTTCACCATCAACCATCGGGCCAAGCTGTACTCACTTGTCACACTTGATCCTTTTTTTCAAATGTAAAGCCCTTGCATAGCTCAGCACTTTAACTGTTTATGTTATAATGACAGATATTAAAGCCGGGCGTACACTGTGCGATTTTTTCAATCGTAGCTACTGCTCACACTGTTCGACTAAACCCCGCGGTTTTAGTCGAACAGTGTGAGCTCACAGCTCACGATGTAAGTGCAGCACAACGCTTTCATGCGATCTATCTGCTCACACTGTACGACTAAAAAAACCATGTCGGACTCAGCTCTGCAGTGATATGGAGCTGCTCTGACTCGTCTATCTGGAAGCCAAACAAATAGAAAAGGAATATGAAGCTCACTAGAGTAAAACGCACTGCCTTGGCAATTTGTACCATTTTGTGCTGAAAGCCCTAAAAAAGAAAAAGGTGGCGACGTAATTGGACAGACATGGCTGAGCAAACGTGGCTACTACGGTCTGCCAATTTGACAGAAATAACTCCATTTTACTCATTGCATCCCTGCCATGCTTCTGTGTTTTCCTCTGAGAGGAAGAAGAAAAAGAAGAGTCCTTGTTTGCGCACAGAGCGATTTGCCCAAGACGGTCGGAAAGAATCAAATATGTTTGATTTTCTCCCGACCTCACGATTCCTGATCGGGAGGTGGTGGTGAGAGGCTGGTGAGATGCACGATCAGGCTGAAAGTTGGCCCAATCGAAAGATTCGCGCACGACTGGAAAATCTCCCTGAAAATTGCCCAGTGTATGCCGGGCTTGAGAGAGACTGCAGTGGCTGCTGCAGCTTCCAGCCTGTTTGTGTCATGTGACGGTCACAGTCGGCTGTACTCACACAGCTTTCGTTGTTATAGAGATACAAAGTTCAGAAGGGAAAAAACAACAAACAAAAAACAAAACAAAAACATTTTAAATAGTTCCTTGTGAAAACAACATCAGCAGAAGCAAGACAGAGGATTTAATAAAAACTTTTTTGCTCATTGATTTCTTATTTTGGTTTTGGTTATTTTTCCTCTGTATACATTATTTTACTCTGACTCTATAATATCAATGAGATGTTTAGAAACAAAAGGTAATGTTCATTTAAACAAGGAGCAACTGACGGTTCAAAAGTTTTGGACAATTAGAGGTTTTGGAAACTCCCTCCTGATGTCACCTTAAAATAAACCCTGCTCTACTCTTTACTGGTCTGAATCTGGACCACATATACTCTTAAACGTGTCCAGTAGAAAATTATTTCTTCCATTTACTCTCAAAAGACTTAAGTAAAGGATTCCCCTTTGCTGCCATCTACTGTTCACTAAAGGTAATAATATTATCATAAAAAGAGCTGCAGGTTTTCTGTGTTTTACAAGGTTTTAATGCTTTTATAAAGTCTGCATTGTCTGTCTACCTTTTGTTCTGTAGAAGACAAGCTGGAGCAGCAGCACACAGTTTTTACTCAGTACAAGGACCCGTGTCGCCTAGGGCCAGGGGAGGACAAACCATGGGCTCTGGGTAAGAACACAACCACACAGCTTTACCCAACATCAACAGTGATTTCCATGACCCCTCAAAGCTTATAAGACACCCTGAATCCCAGGTGTTGCTACACGAAATAGGCTTAGAGCAGAACAGACTGCAATCTGCTTCCTCGGGCTAAATCTGGATATGATTTAAAATACCTCCAGCACAGCAGGGCTGATGCACGGGCATTAGTGACGTAAACATGGGAGGGTTTTGGTTTCGATGTGAAACATTATTTAGGCCAGCTGTATTTCAGGGACAGTGTGGGCAGGACTGAGTGAAAGGGTTGTTGCGAGGAAGGCTTATTTATCTTTTTTTTGTGGCAAGCTGGGAAATAAAACAGATCTGTGCTTCATGTGTAGCTGCTGAGAAAGAGAGCAGAGACATTAAAATTCGATGAAGGTGAGGATTATCCAAAGAAGACATATGTTAACAGTTGAGATGCAGAAAACAGCAACAGGAGGGTCGAATCTTCCAGCTGCAGAGATGTTACAGTTTGCTCATCATGGTCTTATCCTGCAAGGGAGGGTTGACCTAATCAAAATCAGCAAGCTTATGAGACAACTGGATATCTTAGACAAATAAAATAACAATATGCAAGAAACTGTGAAAATTTAAAAGATTGTCTGATTTGATTACACTGTAAATTAAGCATAAAGAAAACACTAGCTAGTTAATATTAAGCAAATAAAATCAAAATGATTGAGCAAACTAATAAAAGCATTAATTTCTAATTAAAACATTATCTGATGACAAGATTAATACCAGATCAAATATTTTATGTGAGGTTTTAATAGTTGCTAAATAAATGAGTTAAACATGAAACCAGTTCTAAGGTAAAGTTTCCACAATAAAAATCAGTCCAGAAAGTGTCTCGTTACTAAGCATCTTAACCCATTTATTCTCAATGTCAGCACATTTACGCAATAATATGTTATGTAATAACTTTGTATTTAATGCCCAAACCCATTGTGGCTGGTGAATTTGTTGTTTAATTCAATTCAATTAAGTTTATAAAGCGCCGATTCACTCGTCATCTCAAAGCACTTTACAGAGACAATTCAACCAGATCATACAGTCAGATTGGTTAAAAGTTTTCTATCTAAGGAAAACCAGTTGATTGCATCGACTCATTGACTCGAATGCAATCTCTCACACTAAGCATGCTTGTAGCGACAGTGGAGAGGAAAAACTCCCTTTTAACAGAAAGAAACCCCCAGCAGAATCAGGCACAGTGTGGGCGGCCATCAGTGGTTCAAGGAGACAAATGCAGACATAAAAAAAGAAGCAGAGATACAAAGGTAACTGTCAACCAGCTCCACAGGCGGCCCCGTCTTGGAAACACACAGTCAGGCAGATGAGCTCGGAGTTAAGATCTGAGTTTATTAAAAAAAAAGCTTTCTGGCTGTATATCACGTTTGTGAACACATGCCCAACTGGCTGTGTGTTACATTAGGACAACAAATGAAAGGGTAAATCAGGCCCAAATCTTGGTCAAACAATAATTCTGCACATATATGTAATAAGTGTACAATACTTTTCATTCAAAATATAAGAATTTATAAAAAAGAAAAAAAATATATTTTCGATTTCCATTTTGGTGTCTCCAAATTTCAGGAAAGCTTACCATATCCAGCCTGTAGCAGTGGAGCTAATGTCCTTTCCTCCAGCCTCCAGTTTCTGGCGTCTTAAAGTTTTCTGTAAACTCAGAGAAAGAACATTGCAGAAAGTCTGTTTTGCAGAGTGTTGTTCTGAGATTACCCACAGCTCCATTTCACTTTGGCATTCAGAAGGTTCTGATTACTGTGGCCTGCCATGCCTTGCATCAATGGTGTCTCTCCAATATGGCCAACTTGGAAGCAATGGCAGAAAAGGATGAGACAAGCATGAAGCAGCTTCTTTTTCCTAAAGTACGGTGGTAGGCAAGACATGTACCTATGGGAGGCCTTGTGATGGTCCTGAATTATTTTAAAGTTGACCAACCAGGACATTTGTTCTCAATGTCCAAAATTAATATCATGTTTATGGCATTATAACCCTTTAATTGTGCATTTCTGCAAATTCTCTTTTAATGGGAATGTCTAAATTTACACCATTGTATACATAAATGTTTACAAATGCAGTATTGTCTTCAAATTAGATTTATTGAAAAAAAAAATCTGAATGAAAAGATTACAAACATTGATTATGTGGTCCTGGATATAGTCATTCAGACTGGGGAAATCGATGCAAACATGTGTTTCTGTGATATGTTATGTTCATATTCAGAAACAAACAGAAAAAAAACACAAGAACAGAAACTGGCTTCTGGTTAAAATGAGGAAACTTGGTTGGAACTACTGTGAAGGAACATGCTTTTTGTGTTCAAGTACGACACAGAGTGTGAAAGATGTCAACATTTATTAGCTCAGGGAAACTACAAAAAAAAATTTCTACAGTCATGGGATAAACAACGTCACTGCAGGATGTTCTTTCTCCTTTTTGTCTTTCCAGTAGTTTCTAAATGTCTCTTTCACATTACTGTAGCCATTTGTTGAGATTTGCTGACATATTTACTCTCGCCTCACATTTTAAGTTTTGAACTTTGAAGTAGGGCAACTTTACGCCATTAGTTGAGCAAAGAGTTTAAGTTGATATTCTAACTTCTACAAAAGCGTTTTTAAACAGGATTTATACTTTAATATACTTTAATAACACTTTAGACACCTCTGTTTATGTCACATACAATAGCTTTAATATAAACTACTCGTAAATGGCACCAAATTGTCTCACATGTAGTACTTTGTATGTGTTAAATATGCATGGACTGTTCATGTAGAGAATTTATAGAGGTTTAATTGGTCTAAAAGACTTTAAGGGTGGCCTTGATGGGAAAAAATGTTGTGATAAAAAATCAGTAATAAGTACTTAGTTCATTAAATTGCCCAATAACTAAAGCATACAAACCATTAAGAAGGGATTAGCTTTTTGGGGATTGAACTACACATTAAACTGTGGTTATGCAGGTGGACAGCAGTAAAAGAAATACATAAGTTGGTAGTAACCTGGTCCGTTGTAATGATGCATGAGATAATTTAGCAAATTGATGGATCTGTCGATTATTTTTTTCAATTAATTGATTAATAATTGGATAGCCGAACATTCCCTAGAGATAAGTTTTTTTAGAGAATTAAACCAGATGAGATTAAAACTTTTCCAGTTGAGGAGTTCTGGTTAGAGCATATTTACAGACGGAAAAAAAAAAAGTATCTTACATGCAAAATGTTTATATATTATTTCACAATTTTGGTATAATAACGACTCTAAGTGAGTTGCTCAGTTAGCTAAAGGCATGTTTTTGAGTCTATATACTCCAGTTATCGATTAATCGATTTCTAAATTAGTTGACAATTATTTGAATAAGCAATTAATTACAATTAATCCAAATAATTGTTTCAGCCCTACATAAGATAATGACCGATATATAATTGTAATACTTTGTTTCCTAAAATCAAGGATAAATGGAAGAGAAGTAGTTCAAACTGAGACAAGTTCACAGCCTAGACATTCTGACATTTCTTCAGGTGGTGAACTATGAGCACAAGTTAATTTAGTTTCAATGATATGACCTGAACTCAGAATAATAATTGCTGATAAGGGATCCAGAAGGAGCTATTCCTCACTCCAGAGCAGCAACAGTTGCCTCTTTAAGGTCACTGCTTGCGTCTTTGCTTCTTGGCATCCATGTCAGCAAAATTCTGAAACCAAGCAGACCATCAAGAGCATTTTATCAACAACACCTGGCTGCTTCTAGAAACCCAGATGTACATATTTTCCCTCCAACGCTACTGACAGTCTTTAAAACCTTTTTTCCATTGACTGAGTATCAGCACTCTCTCAAATGAGCTGCAAACAACTTCCACTCTGTGTAGAAGAGTGTTCCTGCCTGCAATCTCACTCCTCTTTATTCCAGTTATCGGAAGATCTGCTGTTAGAGTGAAAAACTGCTGTCTGCACATCAAACACCCACTTTTCATTAAAGCTCTGAGCACTCATGAACTGACTGGAATCTCTCTTCATATGGAGTTGTTTCCACTGCATTATCTAGCCGAACAGCCTGACATTATTAGAATCATTTTTGGGTGCTCGTCTCTCCTCTCACCATCACATCTCTCCACTGTACGGCAGAATATTGGGGTCTGATGGTTTTGAAGGCATATATTGACCCTTTAAAATGCATCCTCTCTTGTAAAGCTGTGCTTTTAGAAAAGCTATTCTGGAGGTAAAACGTTGAACTTCGTAGAGAGGGGCAGATTGTAAAGCATGCTTCAGATTGATAAAGAGGATGCTGGGATGGTTTTTTGTTATGCAACTACGGTGGAACATATTGCTTTGTCTGTTTCACTATTTGTTGATAGAATTGCTTCAACTCTGACCTGGATTTTAGTTTTGCTGATTCTTTAATTTTCATTTCTAGAAATGCAGATTGGGGGGGTTTTAAAAAAATCTATTTGATTATATACTTCCAATTATTTGGTTAATATTAATCTTTTGTATTAAATAGAAACATTTAATAATATGGGGAGGCTTCTTTAACTGTTTGAAGTTTAGTTTTTTTACCATATTGAACCAAACTACATTTATTTATACAGGAGTTTAAAATGGCATATGGCTGCCCTTAATTACCATTATGCCCAACATAAAGGTAATTAAAAACAAAATATTAAGATGGCTCGATAACATCGGAATAAAGAGTAAAATCACTGTGTGAGCTGAGCTAAAGGAACGAGATGGAAACAGGGTGGACGATGGTTGGACAAAGATACTAAAAGCAAATGAAGGGAGTTTAGCTATGCTTCCTTCACCAAACCATACAGATCTGATTGCTAATTGGTTCAAAATGTCTTATAACAAATATAACAGTCTAATCAGTGGCTTTTTAAAACTGTTAATTTGGATCAACTTTTTTTTTTTTATGCCAAAACCCATAAATGTTTTAATTAAATATTTCAAGAAAAAGATACACCCTTAAGTGTCTGGATTTGTTACAGCTGATTTTATATCATCTGCTTTTAGGTCATGTCTTTTATTTTTTAATCAATATTTTAATCTTTGCAGAGTCTGGTTCAGGTACATAGTATCAGTTGACTTGTTTGATGCATTTAAAACATAACTCTGTATTGCATCCCTATTATTTGTGTGTCATTTTGGTGGTTTCAGTTCTGTAACATTAATAGTCCTTTCAGTCATAAGAAGCATGTTGTTAAAGTTAACTATTACCTTAAACCTAAATCTGCCAGGGACTTGAATAACTTGGGGTTTGAATGTGCATTGGAAGATTGCCTGTAAACTTAAGAACCTGCAAAAAGAAGTGATTGCATTTTGAAATTTGAAATGTGTATCAACCTTGCAAAGGTTGAACCTGGATTAGAGAGACGTGTATCTGTATTTATTGAATGGCATATTCTGCAGGCACTCTGTTGGATCCCAGTGGCCTTTATGACGAAGACGTCAGTTCACCCGAAAGTTTACAAAAGTAAGTCTCACATCCATTTTGTAGTCACAGTGTTTGCATGTATTAAACTCTGCTAGCTTGATGCTGGGTCATACAAACTCCTATTATAATCACAAAGTTAATTTTGTGGAAGGAAGTTTTGGTTTAAAAAATATTACTGGGATGTTTTTAAAGTTATTTGTTCCAGGCACAAGTTAACATAATAGATGTTGTAAAAGTCCTCCTGCGAGTCCACTGAGGTGAATTTGTTTTTGTTTTTTTTTGCAGAGTGATGGAGAACGAAGAGGGGAGAAAGGAGTACCTGGTGTTTCCTCCCAGTAAGAATCAGTGTCCTGCCAGCGGTCAGAAGGGGCGGAAAATCCCACTGAAGGGGAATGGCCGCCGGATAGACTACATCCTCTACAGCGACGAGAGCATTCAGCAGGACTGGAAAGTGGTACGTTTAGAACCGATAAGGAATGAGAAAATGTGTCCCTGCATCATATTTATTAGCTTCACTGAACTTCATTCTTGTTCAGAAACTGCCATTTTTGTTACAGTGCTTTTAATTAGCCTTAAAAAACATCATTACACTAGTAGATAAATACATTATTAAACATCTTTTGGAAAGCAAATGTTTGTGATAAGAAGGTGAAAAGAGAAAAACTGCAGCAATGTATTTCCATAAGCGAATTAAAGAATACAGTGTACATTTGAGGACAGTCTCGAGTCTCGGGAAGTAAGATATCAGTTCTAGAATAAAAGCTATCAGATTTCAGAAAAATAAATTTTCTCATAAAAGATGTTGCCAGGCTTCAGGAATAAATCTAAAGTTAATTATAAAAGTTACATCACAATAAAACAGCCAAAACAGCCAAGTTACATCACAATAAAACAGCCAAATGATGAGAAATTCCATTTCTCATCATTTATTGTAGGTGAAAGCAGATTGGTCAAACTGTAACACTAATGGCAGACAGCACAGGGAAAACTGAGATTAAAAATCATATATTACATTTTACAGTTTATAGGAAAGGAATCTTGGATGTCTCTTTCTTTTTGTAGAAAGGGATTGTAAACTTTTAAAATGTGTTAAATGTTTATAGATTTATCACATTTTAAAAAAGGTTGCTGTCAAGCTGAGTGTATTTCTTCCAAATTACACATGAATCTGCTTTGTTTTAGGAGAGACATTAAGCAGTTCTGTTTTCTGCATATTCATGATATATTAACCATGTTTCAGTCATTTTGCTTCAGCTTGTTTCATTTATTTTTCAGGAAGGCAATTATACTTTTTTGTTGTAATTTTATAGCTTTTAAGTTAAGCTTTTTCTGCTAGCTTACAACTTTTTCAAAAAAAATGCTACTTTTTCTAGTTTACTATTGCCTTTTCTAACATGGAAAGTATTTAAAGATCAGTGTCTCTATAGTCATATAGCAGATGTCTGTTCACACTGAACCTGATTCTGCCAGAGGTTTCTTCCTTTTTAAAGGGAGTTTCTCCTCTCCACTGTCACTTCATGCATGATTAGTAGGAGCTATTGCTGTCAAGTCAATGAATCGATACAATCCGCTGGTTTTTCTAAGAAAACTTTTTACCAGTATGACTCTAACCTATTAAATAGTCTCTACATTTAGATGATGTGTTGTGAATTAACGCTATAAAAATAAACTGAATTAAATTGATTTTAACTTGAACCCTTCCTCCCACAGTAGATATACAGTGGGTACGGAAAGACGCCTGACAATAATGAGCAAAGGCACTGAATACTTATCAACAATTGATATTTCAGTATTTCTTTTTTAATGAATTTGCAAAAATGTCTAAATTTTTGTTTTTATCTGTCAAGATGGAATGCTGAGTGTACATTAATGAGAAATAAAAGGAACTTTATTGATATTAGCAAATGGCTGCAATGAAACAAAGAGTGGAAAATTTAAAGGGGTCTGAATTCTTTCCGTACAACCTGTATGTGAGGTCTACAGAAGATTTATGCTAGATATGGAATAACTACAACCAACTAGAAAGTCCTGCAGCTCCTTAAATGCTGCTGTCAGTCTCCCTTACCAGTTTCACTTTTTGTCAGTTTTGGAGAGATTGTGCCAATATTCTGCCTTTGAATAATAAAATCATTCTAAAGTAACCTTATTTGCTCTTACATAAATGATGCAAATGTGAACATGTGAGAAAAATCCAACACTTTAATATTAATCAGATTATCTTCTGCTGATGGTCGATGTAAACCCATGAGTTGTGGGCTGTGTACGCTTATATAGCTATATGTTTGCAGCTTTTTAATGATAATTTTGACTCAAAAAGAAGTTTTTTTTTAGTAGATCCAATTTCTTAGCTCATTCTCTGCCATTGCAAATGGGGCCTGTGCTCTTGATTAATCATGAAGTTTTAAAATGACATAAAAAGAATCTATAATAATAAAAAAAAAAATACAAATAATGTAAAACTGCATCTATCCAAATGCAGAAGCAGAATGAAAGTTAACTGAGTATACGTGGGACTAAGATCAATTAACGATGCTATTAATGCTCGACATGTTGCAAAGTCTTCTGATTTTGACTGACAAACTGAAATAAATGAACACTAAAAGTTACTAATACAGTAGTTTTCTTATAGATTAAAATCATTGTGAACAAAATCCTCTATATCCTCAAACCAAATGTCAGCAAAGATGCAGCTCAAACATGTTTTTTCTGCTGTGCTATAATCATGACTGATGCACCACAACACAAGCATCTTTAGAAGGAAATGCAATTAGTATCAACTGGCAGCAGTTACTTGTCAATGTGGTTTAATGCATATTGGATATATATAAAGCGCATTATGTAAAACCCGTACAAGCGAACAAGCCATTTTCTATCAGGCTTCATAGAGCATTAGTGTCTGCATGTGGTTCACTCACAACAAAACCTTCATTGAATCAAACATGAAGGCTTTGACTGAATCCAGAGACCAGAAAAATGAAACAAAGCAGCACAACCTGGAAACCACATAAAGACAGTAGAACCTCTACTGCATCGCTGTCGATCAGAAAACCAAAACACAACATTTACATCAGAACATCTCTATCTCTGCTTTCAGCCTGTTTGCTTTCAAACTGCAGCCACATGTCACAACCTTGTGGCAGGATAACGTTTTGTGTTTTCAATCTAAGATCATCAGAAAAAAATATCAATTATCTTTCGTAGTTGAGGATCTACTTGGATACCATACCTTATCAACTTTATTTATGAAGCACCTGTCTACACCGGCAGGATGAAAGTGCTGTACATTTTACATTATACATATTAATATACAGACACAATAAAACAAAGTGAAACCTCTCAGATTGTGCCAAAAGCCAAAGAAAAAAGATGGGTCTTAAGAAGATACTTTAAAACAGCGAGTGGAGAGTCCTGTCTTATGCCCAAAGGAATAGAATAGAATAGAATAGAATAGAATAGAATAGAATAGAATAGAAAATTCCTTTATTGTTAAATTCTGGTGTTTACAGCAGCAAAATATTATAGAAAAAAAATGGTCATTTAACTATGGACCTTAGAAAAAGTATAAGAATAACATAATAGTACTCGTACTTGTACTCGTCGTCTCCCGCTTTATCCGGAACCGGGTCTCGGGGGCAGCAGACTGAGCAGAGACTCCCAGACTTCCCTCTCCGCAGACACCTCCTCCAGCTCTGTTGGGGGAAGCCCTAGGCGCTCCCAGGCCAGCCGAGAGACATAGTCTCTCCAGCTTGTCCTGGGTCGTCCCCTGGGCCTCCTCCCAGTGGGACGTGCCTGGAACACCTCCCGAGGAAGGCGTCCAGGGGACATCCGAAGAAGATGTCCGAGCCACCTCAACTGACTCCTCTCGATGTGGAGGAGAACCGGCTCTACACTGAGCCTCTCCCGAATGACCGAGCTCCTCACCCTATCTCTAAGGGAGAGCCCAGCCACCCTGCGGAGAAAGCTCATTTCAGCCGCTTGTATCCGGGATCTCGTTCTTTCGGTCATGATCCAGATTTCATGACCATAGGTGAGGGTAGGAACGTAGACCGACCGGTAAATTGAGAGCTTTGCCTTTTCGCTCAGCTCTCTCTTCACCACGACAGACCGGCCCCTCCTTGAACCGCCACCTTAACGTGGTGGAGGGGTTTCAGTGCCTGGGTGATCCCAGAGGCTATGTTGTCGGGGGCTAAATGCCCCTGGAAGGGTCTCCCAAGGCAAACAGGCTCTGGGTGACAGGTCAGACGAAGAGCGGTTCAAAAACCCTTATGACGAGGACTAAAACGAGGCACGTGACGTCGCCCGGTACGGCGGAGCCGGGACCCCACCCTGGAGCCAGGCCTGGGGTTGGGGTTCGTCGGCGAGTGCCTGGTGGTCGGGTTCTTCCTTGCGGGACCCGGCCGGGCCCAGCCCGAAGGAGCGACGCGAGGCCATCCCCCAGTGGGCCCACCACCTGCAGGGGGAACCATGAGGGACCGGTGCCAAGGGGATTGGGCGGCAGCCAGAGGCGGAGACCTCGGCGATCTGATCCGCGGGCGCTTAAACTGGCTCTGGGGATCTGATCTAACATAATAGTGAAGAGTTAAAAAGCAACAAATAAAATACAGTACTGTAAAGTGTTTTAACAATATAAATACTGCACCTGGAGAATAAATATACAGCTATGGACATTTTTACAGTAATGGATGTTTGAAAAATATCAGCAACATCAGAGATGTGCAAAATGACAGCAGCATGTTATTTAACTGATTAAGACAGAAACTGTGCAAAATCAGCATGAATGTAACATCTTATTAAAGTTGTTGGGAACAGTGGTGGTTATAAAGTCTTCCAGCTGCTGGGAGGAAGGATCTGTGATAACGCTCCCTGGTGCATTTAGGGTGCAGCAGTCTGTCACTGAAGGAGCTCTCCAGTTCTGCAACAGCTTCCTGCTTGGGATGTGAAACATTATCCAATAGAGATGTTAATTTAGTTAGGTCAGTGTGTTTTTCTACCTCCTGCACTGAGTCCAGAGAGCATCCAATCACAGAGCTGGCCTTCCTGATCAGCTTATCCAGCCGTTTTCTCTCAGCTACAGATAAGCCAGTGCTCCAACAGACAGCTCCATAGAAGATGGCTAATGCCACAACAGATTCATAGAGGGTATGTAGGAGTGCCTAGCCTCGTGAGACCATTCTGACCTCCTGAGCTTTCAAGATTTCACTCATTAATCAGTCTGGAGACTCTCCGTTGAAGAAAATTTGGAGCCGTTCACCAAACGAACGTCCAATCAGCGTTGGCTTTGAGGCGGGTTGAGGTGTGACGCAACGAGAAGTGCGACAGTTCAGTCTAAAGATCATGGCGGCTGCAGCCGATGAAACTAGCGTTAGAGTGGCTATCGAGCAAGTTTTATTGGAACTACAGAGTATTTCTTCACTGAAAGAAGAGCAAAACACTGCTCTGGAGGCTTTTCTCAGA